GCGCGCGGCTCAGCGCGCCGCCGCCGCCTCCGCCGCCTCCCGCCGGCGCTCCCGAGCCGGAGCCCGCGGCCCCGCTGCCCAAATAGCCGCGCTGGGCGGTGCTGCCCGGCCCGGAGAGCGCTCGGCCATGGAGCTCGCCAAGCCGGCCTTTCCCGCGCTGCCGCAGGCCAAGGAGGACTCGGAGGTGAGCGCGCGCGCTGGGCAGACCGGCGGAAGGGACGGGAAGGGACGGGGGGGCCGCGACGGGCCCTGCTGCCGCCGAGCGGGGCCGAGAGGCTCCCGCGGCGCCGGCCTCGTGCGCGGGAGCCCCGCGTGGCGCGGCCCGGCGCTGCCCGCCTTTGACGGGGGGGGGTGTTCCGGGCTGCCCCCCTTCCCCTCCCCGTGGGCTCCGCCGCGTCCTGCCGCGGAGCCGTTGCCTCCCCCCGGGCCTGCTGCTGTCCGCCCGCCCTGGTGACATTCCTGCCCCGCCGTCCTGCAGGGCGGCTTGGGCCTTGCCCCACGCGCTCGCTGCTGCTCGTGGCTCTTGGGGGCCGTGGCTGCCGTGTGGCACCCTTAGGTGGTCCCTGCTTGCCCCTCGCGTGCCCCTTCCTGCGCCTCGGGGTGCCGCGGCCCCCCCGCCGCCCCCTCCTTCTCGTCAGTGTCCCTCGCTCGCTGGTGGGCCGGTCCTCTTTGCAGAGAGCTCGGCTCAGTTCTTAGAAACTCCAGCGTGTCCCCGCACAGCCCCCTCGCACCCAAACAGCCCCTTCACCCGGCATGGCATGGAGAAACCCCGCGGTGCTCCGGGGAGCCCGCCGGGATCACGGTACCGGGATCAGCAACCGGACACCGCCGAGCCGGAGGGGCTGCCCTGGCTGCGGAGACCACCGCGCGCCCCGTGTCCGGTTTCTGCGCCTGGCCTCGCTCCCACGCCCTGACCCCGCCAGCGCCGCCGCCTGTGTCACGAGCGGCCCCGAGCGCTGCTTTGGCAGTGTCAAATGCTCAGTGCAAAATGTCACCGTGTCCACATGGCGAACTGCTAGTACCCGAGCCCGGCGGAGTTGTTGCATCTCTCACAAATAGCAGTGTTTAGTTTGGCTTTCRTGGAATCGCTGCTGAGGGCTTTTAGTGTGGTAAGGTATCAGAAAGTCATTCCTTTTTTCTTTTTGTTGTTTTAATCTGTTCTTACACCTCAGCAACTGATGGATTAGAAGCTCTTCTGAGCACTTCCAGTGACATGAGTCACTGCATGCATRTGTATTTTTACATATCTACCTTTTTGTATACAAATACAGGAAAAACTAAAGTCCATTTGGATAGCGTAGCCCCATGTGCTATAGGTCATGCACAGACACACATTCTGCAAGCACCTGCCCTGTGTCTGCAGCAGTGGGTGTTGGAGCTGCCCTGTGGAAAGAACTTCCTCTAACCCCTTCTCATGTGCCCGCTGTAGCCCTGGTGACCTGCTCAGTTTTGCAACATGAGCCAGCGAAGTCTCGGGTAAAACAGCTTCTACCTTTCGTCACTACGTCTGTAGTGATTAAAAGCGGAGTTACTTTTTGTAGCTCCTTATGCCATTTGGATTTTTCCACTCCTAGTTTTTGGATGCTCRAAATGTTGCTCATGGTTCTTGCAAAGTTTCCTGATGGGTGCTCCAAGTGTCGGGAATATTTTAAGCTCAGCCGTGTTACAGGCCGGCAATAGCGTGCCAGGGCCTCAGGAACGGTGTTGATGGTCCATGTTACAAAAGCAGTTTCTTGGATTTATATGCTTGTATCAAACTGGACAAGTTTTCCAAGATGTGGCCTCAAAGCTTATTGCAAACTTCAGAAATGCCAATTTTTTCTGATGTGATGGTGTTTGGCTCAAGACTCTTCCCCTTTAAAAGGGGGTCAGGTAGATAAATGTTGGTTTATTCTGGCTTTGCAGTGCTTTGGGTGAGGTGATCTTTAAGGACCAGGCTAAGCTTCAGGCATTCAATGGCAATTTATTTTCTCTTGAAATATTCAATTCAAAAGGAAAAAAAGACAGGTAGTGGTAGGATATATGTAAAGGGAGCACATCGATAACTACCAGTTCCGTTCATTGCTAAAATATTGAATGGAAAAAGACAACTTCACCCTCCAAACTTAATGCTTTTATTCCTCTAGTTACTGTAAGAGAAAAAAATGGATTTAAGGCATATTTGTGTGCTAGTGGACTGAATAAAGTAGCATTTATGATGTGTTTGGAAGTGTATAAAGTCTTTTAATATAATTACCAACTTATTGACCAAGTAATCATATTTATTTTTTATTGTACATGTAAATATTGAAGTCACTTTCTTCAGCATGTGATTTTAAAGCAATGTTCGTGTCTTGGTTGTATGCAGTCTAAAAGACCAACTAGCTTCCAAGTGCTCACTTGGAATCACCTGAGCTTTTTTCCTCTTCCCTTTGATATGAAACACAAATAATCCTCTTAACACCAAGGAAGCAATTCCCCTTGTCTACACACTCTTTAAAGTAAGTAGGAGGCCTGTATTATATATGTTCTACCTGCTCATGGAAGCATAGGACAAAAGAAATTTAAAGCAACTGCAGTGTCATGCCGGGACGGCGTAAATCACCTGACAGGTTTTTGATCCTAACTCGGTGGGATATTATCCAAATACTTTGCATCTATCAAAAGGAGTGAGTTGCAGTGGTGGAGAGCAGCTTTTTCAGGAGCAATTAACTTTCATTCTTTAAGGAAAACCTGTACTGCCAATTTTGTGCATTACAGCTGATATCTATAAGCTAGTAGAAGTGTATTTTGCACCAAAGTAACAGGATGGGAAGTAAGGGAAACAAATACATCTTGTTTATATTCTGTATCTACTTCCATTTAGTCTACTGCTTTTCCTTTTCCCTTCATGTGTGTATGTGTGGCTCCTCTTTGTCAAAATAACCTTTATTTTCCCGATCGTACCCTTCTTCCTTCCTCTGTGTGCTCTGTTGTTCCCACCTGCTATTGTGCTTTCTTCCACCTTCCTGCTTTTGTGTTTGTCTTTTTTTCCAAAGGCAAAAATGTTTCTGCGATAAGGACTTCCCCTTGGACAAGCACACTTCAAAACTGCACAGAAAGCAGTGCTAARCACCCCTTTCTATCCTAAAGCAGGAACTTACGGATCCCACTATAGAGACTGACTTGATACTTAGAGTAAAACCCATCYCATAGCTGGGTTTGCCCCTAGCAATAACTTCACCCAATTTGCACCCACCCAGGGCAGCCGCTGGGTTTGTAYTGGCAATGAGGCACATGTAGACAACCACCCAGGCCAAGGAAAGCTCTTCCTTTTTGACAATTAGTTTTCTGAGCTTGATGGCCATAGGGTTATACACCTGCCGGGGATGCGTAAATGTGTGAGCGGGACTTTGTCCTTTAACTAGCTGCTGTTTCGGGGCAGCTGCAGTGGCAGAGCCCGCTCTAATGCTCTTTTAGTGCTCTAGACCTTGATGGTGTGYTCCATCTCAGGTGAAAATGACTTCTGTGAATAATGAGGGTGGGTTTAATTGTTCAGGTAGCAGCACTAGGACACATTTTTAATCCTGAAAATGTTTTTTTTCTTTTTTTTTCTTTTACACTTACAACTGCACCCAGGAACACAAAGCATGACTGAAACTGAAGGTGCAGCCATGCATTTCATTTTGAGTCCCTTAAAGCAATACATGTAGCAGTGATAGATACGACAGGTTTCAGTAATACGGTTTTTGAGTAAGTCTTGAGGTCTTCTTTAACTTACTGTCTTATTTAAAGATTGAAAATTAACTTGTTCTGTTACTTGTTCTGAAGAATCGGAGGGGATTCCAGCTGGGAAGGGGTAAAAGAACAAACCTCAGCCTTGAAGAGCTGCAGTGAGGTGTTGGCCTGTAAAACAGTCAAGAGTAGTCTTGAAATTGGAGACCTGTGAGTGGCGAATTTGTGTATTACTAACCCTCCATCACCAAATTAGGCTTTCTCTCCTCATGTAGAACTGGCTAATAAAACTCTAGTTTTTAATATAGTGCTTCAGGTCAAGTACTCTGGATAGTGACATTAGAGTCTTGGAATAGAAAAAACTAAGGACACATCAGTACTTGTGATAGGATTTCAAGAGGCTGTGAATTTACATCTTSGATAAAGGAGAATGAAATTAGAAATGAATTATGGCTGTGCTGAGGAAGCAGCTGCGAAGGAGCTTTTGGTAATAGAGTATAGATGAAAATGGATTTTTTTTCCAGGTTTGCTGGTCTGTATGAGGTGAGAGCGCTTTTTCCAATGGCTTGTCTAAAATCCTCTCAAAAACAAGGTATGATTGCATTTCATAGAGCAGATTTGATTGAAAACTTCTTGGAATTAAGCTTAAAGCTTTGTGTGTCAGGATGACCATCTAGAAATKAGGTCAGGACCCCTCCATGTTCTAAGCTGTATCTTACCGGGGGACATGKCAGTAATGTTGGCAGTTAATATAATCACGGGCTGTTTTTATGTAATACTATGTAGCTGTAACTTTATTTTCCTTCATAGAACAGTAGGAAGTTACAGACGACATCAGACAGAGCAGATACAGGAGTTGAAGCAGGTCAGTGGAATGGGTGGCWATCGTTGCAGTAAGAGTTGTTTTGAGGTTTAATTTCACAGCTTGTTGAAGAATGTTGTTCCAAGCTTGGGATATAGGCTGGAGTTTTATAGCTTATATAAATATGCTGCTAGACACGGGGGAAAAAAATAGGCTTGAGAATTGTAACAGCTCTTTATTTGAGGTACATGACAAACGATTAATCATGCAGAAGTCCTAGTGTGATGGATTAGGATAAGAAGAGGAATCTGTACAGAGAGGTGGGTGATGCCATTAATCAACAACAAAAGAGCTGTCTTAATGTTGGAAGGGGGTCAGAATCCTGCAGTGGTAGTGGAGGCTTTGCTGGGAGCTGGGCAGAGCTTCTGCAAAGGAAATGAGTAATGATCTCAAATAGCTGGGAAGGAATCCTTGCAGAGCGTGATTGCTATCCAGTGATGCACAGGAGATAGGAGGCAACAACTAAGCCTAAAGAGGGTAARTATTGACGTTGAATTCTCCTTTCTRCCGAAATCATTGATTTGACTTATTTTACTGGKTTTTTTTTTCCMAWWWTTTT